TTAGTTTAAAATGTATACACCTTACTGCCAAAAATAAGCTAATGATCATTTGGTATTTCAGTTACTTTTTTTTTTAAGATTTATTTATTTATTTGAAAGTCAGAGTTACACAGAGAGAGAGGCAGAGAGAGATAAAGAGGTCTTTCATCTGATGGTTCACTCCCCAACTGGCTGTAACGGCCGGAGTTGTGCCGATCCGAAACCAGGAGCCAGGAGCTTCTTCTGGGTCTCCCACAGGGGTGCAGGGGCCCAAGGACCTGGGCCATCCTCCACTGCTTTCCCAGGTCATATCAGAGAGCTGGATTGGAAGAGGAGCAGCCAGGACTAGAACCGGCGCCCATATGGGATGCCGGCGCTTCAGGCCAGGGCATTAACCCGCTGCGCCACAGCACTGGCCCCATTTCAGTTAGACTTTTGCAGGTGGAGGTCTTGAATACTGATGGCTGCTGGAGTTTGGTGTGGCTGTGGCAATTTTTTAAAATAAACATTTCTTTATTTATTTGAAAGCCAGAGTTACACACAGAGAGAAGGAGAGAGAGAGAGAGATTCGGGGCGGGGGGGGGGGGAGACAGAGGGAAAGAGGAAGAGAGAGGGAGGGAGGGGGAGGGAGAGGGAGCTGAAGGGAGAGGGAGGTGAAGAGAGGGAGACAGAGAGAGAGAGAGAGAGAGAGAGAGAGAGAGGTCCTCCATCCGCTGGTTCACTCCCCAATTGGCCTCAATGGCCAGAGCAGCGCCAATCTGAAGCCGGGAGCTTCTTCCAGGTCTCCCATGCGGTTGCAGAGGCCCAAGGCCTCGGGCCATCTTCTACTGCTTTCCTAAGCCATAGCAGAGAGCTGGATTGGAAGTGGAGCAGCCGTGACTTGAACCTGCACCTGTATGGGACGCCGGTGCTGCAGGCAGTGGCTTCACCCCTACACCACAGCACTGGCCCCTGTAGCAATTTCTTAATAAGATAGCAACGACTCCTCATTTCATCAAGGATTTCCCTGTAGTACACAGTCCTGTTTGATAGCATATTAGAAACAGAACTTCTTTCAAAGTTGGAATCAGTCCTCTTGAATCCTGCTACTGCTTTACTTAGTCAATTTACCTAATATTCCAAATCTGTCATTGTCCCTGACCGCTTTCACAGCCTCTCTATCAGAAATAAATTGTATCTCAACAAACTACTCCTTTGCTCATGCAAGTCTTGATCCCCTTAAAGTCATCTATGATCTCTAATCAACTTCTCCCTAACAGCTGTTAATTTCATTCTGGCCTGTATCCATGATTCTGAAATATTTTCAATGACACCTAGCATGGTAAAATCCTTCCAGAATATTTTTTATTTACTTGGTCTAGAATAAAGAATCTCTACTTATGTCCGTCATAAAATTGAAAAAAAGTTGAAATTACTCCTTGATCTGAGGGTTGCAAAATGGATGTTGTCATTAGTTCCATTGCACATCTCCATCTGAGCTCTGGATTGACTAGGCACATTGTCAATGACAGTAACACCTGGAGAGGGATCTTTACTCTCATCAGTAAGTCTCCACAACAGGCTTAAAGTGTTCAGCAAACCATGTTGTAAACAGATATGCTGCCATCCAGACTTTGTTCCATTTATAGAGCACAGATAGATTTAAAGTAATTCCTAAGGGTCTTAGGGTTTTTAAAATGCTAAATGAGCACTGATTTTAACTAAAACCGCCAGCTGCATCAGCCTCTAACAATGGAGTCCACCTGTCATTGCAAGTGTGAAGCCCTGCATTACCTTCCTTAGCGTTACTAAAGCCCTGCATGGCATCTTCTCCAATAAAAGGCTGCTCCGTGCACACTGACAATTTGTTTAGAGTGGCCACCTTCAATTAACTTAGCGGGATCTTTAAGATAATTGGTTTCAGTTTTTCAAAAGATCTGTTTGAAAGAGGTACAGAGAGGAGCCGTAGGTAGAGGGAGATTTTCCATCTGCTGGTTCACTCCCCAAATGGCTTCAAGGGCCAGGGCTTGCCAGGAGCTTCTTCTGGGTTTCCCCACATGAGTGCAGCGGCCCAAGGACTTGGCCATCTTCCATTACTTTCTGAGCCCACAGCAGAGAGCTCTCCCAGGCCCATCAACAAGGAGCCACAGAGACAGCCTCATTTCAGCTTCTACACCAGCACTTGCTGCTTCACCTTGCACTGATTTAAAGGACTAGTCCCTTAGGCCAGTGGCATTAAGTAGAGTTTGAGCAGAAAAACAAAACAAAACACACACACAAATTAATTAATTAAATTACTGAGTTCAGGGCAGACTGAAATACCTTAATTATTGCTCTGAACTTAACATTTTAACCAAAGCACAAAGGTGCCTAAAGAAGCAGACCCACCAATCGAAGGACTCAGATTCTACAAAGAACTCTTTTTTCCTCCTTAGTCTCTTAAAAGCCTCTGTGTACTAATTTAAAAACACATCTTGTTGTTTCTACAAGGTTTTTTAATCCTTCCCTTTGTAGTAAGCCTCACTAGTAAGCACTTTCATGCAAACTAAAACTTTCTCTTTGTGGCCATTGTAATTCCAAATTGTAACTGGTAAGGTTGAGTGATTTTTAAAAAAATAGTACCAGGGCCAGGAATTCTTAGACATGAAACGGGCAGCAGCACCACATGGAGGAACTCCAGACCTTAGACTCAGTCCAGCTTCTGTGTCATCCAGGCAGCCCCCACAGATCCCAGAAAGGCCATGTGTTTTCTCACAGTACAAACTGACCCTTGCCTGTGCCCAAATGTGCTCGCTCGCAGCACAGGCCTAACCCTGGGCGGAGTTCCACAGATGGAGGCCTACGCTCCCTCCACCCAGCTGGACACACGCTTCCCTGTCTTCTGGTGACTGTACTGACCTCCTGAGCCCAGTCTGGTTTCTTCCTTGTCTGACCTAAATGGGCACCTGAGGCCTCTCTACAAGACCCAGTTCTGTTCCTACTGAATCCCATCTAGTTTCTGGTTGGCCCTGCGGCCCTCAATCCACACCAAAACTTTGCTCAAACAAACTCCACCCAAAACCCAAATCCTTGGAACTTCAGAATCCAAGATAGAACCTACCCACAATGCCCAGAGGCAGGAGGAACACCGTGGGCACAACAGACCCAGTGGGTGTGTCTGCCTGGTCACCTGACGCTCCGGGGTCTGCTTTGCTTTGTATCCTGTCGACTAGCCCACAACTGTTAAAAAAAGAAAATACTCAGGCCAATTAAGTCAAGTAGGGTAATGAAAAACGAAGCAAAACACCACATGAATGACGAGCCGAACAGTTCCTAGAATCAAGGCAGATTCAAAGAACTCCAGCCACCAACACCGTTGGACAGAAGTTACAGAAAAACCAAGGGCGGCACAGAAAACAACTTAATTGGTTACAGTTTTGTCAAACAACCAGCCAACTGCTTACAGCCTTCATTAGTTCACTGGAGAGGGTGCTTCTGCAACCACCCAGAGCTCAGTTACTATTAGACTCTATTGGTTTAGTCTATTGGGCCCAGGGTAGATACCCAGTCTTTTTTTTTTTTTTTTTTTTTTTTTTTTTTTTTTTTTTGGACAGGCAGAGTGGACAGTGAGAGAGAGAGATAAAGAGAAAGGTCTTCCTTTGCCGTTGGTTCACCCTCCAATGGCAGCCGCGACCAGCGCGCTGCGACCGGTGCACCGGGTTGATCCGAAGGCAGGAGCCAGGTGCTTTTCCTGGTCTCCCATGGGGTGCAGGGCCCAAGCACTTGGGCCATCCTCCACTGCACTCCCTGGCCACAGCAGAGAGCTGGCCTAGAAGAGGGGCAACTGGGACAGAATCCGGCGCCCCGACTGGGACTAGAACCCGGTATGCTGGTGCCGCAGGCGGAGGATTAGCCTAGTGAGCCGCGGCGCCGGCCCGATACCCAGTCTTAATCTATGACCTCCAGCAAATTCTTTTTAACAAGTTTTTATGTTAGGGAGACTGCTTCTTCCCTCAGACCTCATGAGCCAGCCTCTGCTGGCTTCAAACTTCTCTTCTGCAGCATCTTCACCTCTCTCAGTCTGCATGGAACTTAAGAGAGGTAGGGTCTTGCTCTGAATTAGGCTTTGGCCGCAGGGAATGTTGCAGGTGCTTTGATCTCGTCTCCTGACCACTGAAACATTCTCCCTGCCAGCAGTAAGGCTGTTTTGCTCACCATGTGTGTGTTCTCCACAACAGCACTTCTGGTTTCCTCTGCATTCTCAATCCGGCTACGTGTTTGGTCCAAGAGACCTACCTCAGCTGTTGACGTGCATCCTCACTAAGCTTAGACATTTCTAGCTTTTGTTTCAAAGTGAGAAATGTGTGACCCTTCCTTTCATTTGAACACTTCAAGGCTACTGTAGGGTTATTAATTGGCTGATTTCAGTATTCTTGTGTTGCAGGAGAAAGGGAGGCCCCTGGGAAGGGAGAGGGTGGGGTCATGGCCCGACAGTGGAGCACCCACAAAATTTATCAACTAAGTTTGTCACTGTGGGACACAGTGTGTGACACCCTTAAGCAACTGCAATGGTAACACCAAAGGTCACTGATCATGGGTCACTGCAACTAACCTGAAAAAAACAGGGAAGTCTCAAATACTATGAAAATTGGCAAAATGTCACACAAACACACAAAGTAGCACACAACTGAAAAAATGTTACCAATAGACTTGCTCAACACAGAGTTCCCACAAATGTTCAATCTGTTAAAACCTTATTATCAGTGAAACACAATAAGAGATAATAAAATGAGGCATGCCGGCACAGATTGCCAACAACTGAGTACCAGTCAAGGGATATCAACATTTCAAAGGTACTGACAAACATCTCTCTACAGTTATATCAAGTTACTTCACCAAAGGCAAGAGATTTGTTAGATCAAAAAGGTTTTTGTTTTAAATAGGTATGGTATCAAAATGCACAGTATCGTACAGCTCCCTCTTGTGGTAACAAACATGTTAACACCTCACACACACTCCACCCCTTAAAAAAAAAAAAAAAAAAAGAAAGAAATCAGTCTTACCCGAGAAAGCAATCTAGTCTCTTGTTTCAATTTCTCTGCTTCAGGAAAACACACCTCTAACAAATAGAGTTCCTCAAGTTCTTCTCTTCTCCTTTGTCGATCCTGATACATAGGGATATATAGGTTGATCTCCTCTTAAATTTTAGCTCTATGTTTCACAAGTAACATCTAAAAGTTATTTGCTTAAGCATGTAAGTATAGTTTCGAAATGAATTCTAAAATGAGTTTGAATGTAACTGGATAATTCCCAAACATTTCATCTGAAAAAGTAAGTTGAAAAGATAGACTCTCAGTGGGTCATCAGAAATTATTCAGGATATGTATGGACAAATCTATTTTCTTTTTTTTTTAATACTTATTTATTTGAAAGGCAGCATTACAGAGAGGCAGAGGCAGAAAGAGAAACAGAGAGGGAGAGAGACAGATCTTCTATCCACTGGTTTACTCCCCAAATGGCCACAAAGGCCGGGGTTGGGCTGATCTGAAGCCAGGAGCCTGGAGCTTCTTCTGGGTCTCCCACACAGGTGTAGGGGCCCAAGAACTTGGGCCATCTTCCACTGCCCTCCCAAGCCATAGCAGAGAGCTGGATCGGAAGTGGAGCAGCAGGAACTCAAACCGGTGCCCATACGGTATGCCAGCACTGCAGGTGGCAGCTTTACCTGCTATGCCACAGCACCAGGCCCCAAATCCATTTTCATAATTCTGTTGAGACCTCACTTGCCTTTTCCATGGTGTTCATGCTGGAACTGGCAGTGAAAGATGGTATAAGGATACTGATGCCTTGGCACAAATCAAGCAGTGGTGCCGTGCTGTGCTAATTTCAGGGGCATGGGGAGGAAGAGGAGCTAGCTTCCCATAAAAATACACTGAAGAGCTGACAACTATTTTTATTAAATCTCAATGTTAAGTATGCTTTTAATGTTCTGCATCAACAAACAGGTTGTATGCATAAAACACACAATGTCTTTTTTTTTTTTTTAATTTAAAGGCAGAATTACAGAGAGAGTGAGACAGAAACAGAGATTTTCCACCTACTGGTTCACTCCCTAAATGGTCACAATGGCTTAGGATGGGTGAGGCTGCAGCCAGAAGCCTGAAATTCCATCCAGGTCTCCCGAGTCCAAGGACTTCAGTGGTCTTCCACTGCTTTCCCAGGCACATTAGCAGGGAGCTGGATCAAAAGTGGGGCAACCAGAGCTCAAACTGGCATCCATCTGGGATGCCAACACTGCAAGCAGTGGCTTTACCCAACGTGCCACAATGTTGGCTCAACACAAAATGCTGGAAAAATAACACTGGTACAATTATTTGACTATTCCGGTAGATATTCTCTCAAATATAAATGAACTGAATATGTCATTTCCAGGATATAACTCAAAATAAATATTGCCAATGATAAAATTCAAGTTCTCAAGCAAAAATCAAATTTTAGAAAACTTACATTTACCATGGTAAGTTTGAATGTTTCCCAATCTTTAAAAATTTCTGATTTGATTACAGATGACATTACTGTATGTGGCTTTTTGATAATGAATAATAAACTACATCAACATTTGAAAGTAAATAATTTAGTGAACGAAATTTTTCCAGACAAGCCATTCACAATACTACAAAATCATGCACAGATACAACATTTATTCAGAGTATAAGACAAAGGCAATGTTTTAATGTAATAGGAAATGAAGAATTCATAAATAAGGTTTCAGGTTCCACATTAATAAACTACCCCTTGGGGCAGGCATTTGGTAGACTGGTTAACATGCCACTGCATCCAATACTGGAGTGCCTGGATTAGAGTCCCAACTTCCTACACCCTGGGAAGTAGCAGGTTATGACTCAATTGGTTGGGTCACTGTCACCCACATGTGAAACCTGGGTTGAGTTCTGGGCTCCTGACTTCAGCCTGCCCCAGTCTTGGCTATTGTGGGTATTTGGACAGTAAACCAGCAGATGGGGAATCTCTGTTTTCCTGCCCTTCAAATAAATAAAAGAAAGTGGTAAAAATTAAGAAAAAGAAACTAACACTTGCTGACTTTTGGTATGGTATCAGAGAAGAACATCCACAACCATCTTAATCCATTATGTCCCATCACCCTATTTATAGACCTCTGATAATGGCATAAATTGAGCAATAAAGATACCACTTATGGTAACTTTGATATAAATATTATGATATTGAAATATTTGGGATTTAATGGGTTAAAGGCTATTAAAATATTCCTTCTTTTTCCATCTGCGTTATCTGTATCAAGCCAGATACAATCAAAACAACACATTGCACCTGATGGAATACCACAGCTGATATGAGAATTCAGCTGTCTTCTGTTAAGTCTGACAGTAAATAGATTTTAAAAACATAAACAATACCATTAGTTTCTCTAATTTAAAAAATACATAGTTTTCTTTAAAATGTTAACATATTATGTTTATTAAAGTTTATTTTTATCCATGTTTATGTCATGTCTACTAACATAGTAAGTTTTAAAATTTATCATTTTCAGTTGCTAATACAGTATATATTGATAGATGTAATCCACATAAACAAAAGTCCCTTAGGGTCTTTAATTTTTTCAAGACTTATTTATTTGAAAGGCAGAGTTACAGAGAGAAAGATCTAACTGCTGCTTCACTCCCCAAATGGCCACAACAGCCAGGGCTGGCCAGGCAGAAGCCAGGGCCCTGGAACTCCATCCAGGCCTCCCACGAGTGTGCCAGGTTCCTGGAAGTTAGCTCACCGTCCGCTGCTTTCCTGGCACCTCAGTAGCAGCTGGATCAGAAGCGGAGCAGCCAGGACTCAGCCCGGTGCCCAAATGCAATGTCTGTTGTTGTCACACAACACCAACCCCGGGGGCTTCAATTTTTACTACTTTAATAGTTTTTTGTTGAAACCAGAACATTTCAGAACTACTGATCTAAAAGATTCTGATTTAAAAAAAAAAAGAAAGGAAGGGAATGGAAAGGAAGGGAAATCGAAGGAAAAAAAGTAAAATAGAACATTGTGAACTACTGCTTTTCGTCCCTGTTAAACAGCCTAAAACACAGGTTCGTGTGTGCCAATGCTTACGAGCATGCGCTCTGAAGCAAGATTGCTTGGGTCTAAGTCCTGACGCTGTCACCTATTGGCTGCCTAATTTATCTACGCCTCAGTTTCCTTACCTGTAGAAACACAGGTAAGATTGTCACTTACATTATGGTAGGGTTACATGAGTTGAAATACTTTATGTAGGAGTAAAATATTACTGGTAACTACGGAATGACAAGGACACTGGATGGCAACAGATCTGACAGCCACACAATTTAAACCTTCAATGCGGAAGCTGCCTTTTGGGCCACCCACATCCCATATCTGAGTGCCTGGTTTCAGTCCTGGCTACTTGGCTTCCAATCCCGCTTCCTCCTAATGTGCACCCTGGGAAATAATGGGCGATGGCTCAAGTACCAGGGTCCCTGCCACACACGTGGGAAACCCATACTGAGTTCTGGGCTTCCTGCTTCTGCTTGGCCCAGCCCGGGCTGTAGCGGCCGTTTGGGGAGTCAACCAGAGGACCAAAGATCTCTGACTGTCTGCCTTTCAAATAAGATGAAAATAAACAAAACGTTAAAAGAGCATTATTAATGCTGGTTTACTTTTTCTTCCAGCTGACGCCATTTCTCTTTCTCAAGACGCTGTATTTCAAGTCTTTCCTGTTCTTCTTTCTCATATCTCAACCGGGCTTCCTCTAAAAACAGACAAAAGAAATTCTCCGTGACTGGGCTACTGTATTTTTAAGCCTTAAAATTACCCCACATATTTTCAAGATGTAGTGGTGGTGGAATAGCTTGTAGTAGTCACAGCCTTTGGGGATGTGGTGGAGGTGAGGAAATGTTACGCTTTCCTTTCTTCAAAAAAGTAACAAGACTCCCAAAGTTTCCGGCCAACAAATAGGCCCAGAATGGCATTTCTCTTCTCCAGTAAGTTTACAGTGATCCAAGAATTATTTTAAATAATAAAATAGGACAGCTTGGCCGGCGCCGTGGCTCAACAGGCTAATCCTCCGCCTTGCGGCGCCGGCACACCGGGTTCTAGTCCCGGTTGGGGCGCCGGATTCTGTCCCAGTTGCCCCTCTTCCAGGCCAGCTCTCTGCTGTGGCCAGGGAGTGCAGTGGAGGATGGCCCAAGTGCTTGGGCCCTGCACCCCATGGGAGACCAGGAGAAGCACCTGGCTCCTGCCATCGGATCAGTGCGGTGCGCCGGCCACGGCGGCCATTGGAGGGTGAACCAACGGCAAAAGGAAGACTTTTCTCTCTGTCTCTCTCTCTCTCTCACTGTCCGCTCTGCCTGTCAAAAAAAAAAAAAAAAAAAAAAAAAAAAAAAAAATGACAGCTCCACCTTGAGTAACTATAGGCAGGGAAAGTCTTCCGGAAATTTTCTCAACCTGGAGACAAGGATGTCATCAGAGGCAATTTCCTTAATCTCCTCTTGTTCTCAAGAACAAAACATGAAATATATGGTGAAGACTGTCAGTTCAACCTAACATTCCCCAAAATGTATACCCGCATATCATATGCTAATTATGGGTCACTTAGAAAGGATTTATATGATTATAAGTTTTTAAAAAAGACAATGGAATTGGAAAGACAATCTTTCTAAACCCTGTATCAGAATCTAAAGATGTTCTTAGTGCTGAGTGCTAAAACCATTTGGAATATTCAGACTTTTTAAATAAAGTTTTGGTATTTTAATTAACCAAGGCTTTTATTAATATTTAGTTGATTTTTAAAATAAATGAAGCAGCCATTTTAATTTGGTAAATAATTAGTACTGAACGGTATAAAGCGAAGGCTGCTGCATTTCTGGCCAGTGGCCACGTCTCGTGCGCAGGGAGCTTGTGTTTCAGGACTCTCACTGTACAACCAGCACCAGTGGCCCTGACTTCATCAGCAAATCAAAACACTGCAAGATGGAGGGGGAAGAATTAGCAAAGGAAAACACAGATGCTCAGCTGAATCTGAATTTCAACTAAAGGACATCTTTTTAAATTTAAGGATGTCCCAAATAATGCATGGGGCATATTATTCCAAATGAGCCACGGTTTATCTGAAATGTTTACCTGGGTCCTTGTGTATTTTAGATGACAATCCTAGTCTAAAATGTACCTGAATGTGTTTGGTTATGTCCTAACAGATCTTTCTGTGTACCCCTGTAAATACCAGATATGTATTATAAAATAGAGCATGTTATAGAAATCAAGGAATTTGGGGAAAAAAATCAACTGGATTCTAGAAATACCAGTTTATTGCTGGTATTACCTGTTTATGAAGATAGTATCACTGTTTCTTACCTTCCTCTCTCAGTCGTCGCTCCTCCTCTTCCTGGAGCAGCTTCAGTCGTTCAGCTTTGGTCAGCTTCTTTTTCTTACCGCCAGGCTTAATGAAAGCCACAACAGAAAAAAGGCTATCAACATGCCCCCAAGTTACTTAAAAACACACCTACTTGAGCAGTAATCATGAAAAGCAGTTTGCGTTCACGAAACCAGTTTTTCATGCACTCATTCAATAAAGAACACTGCCTGTTAGTGCAAAGCCTCGACTCAGTACACTGATGGACATTTCTGGATGCAAATAAAAAGACAGGCATATAAACTGTTCAAGCGTGGGGTGACTGTGACAAGTACAAGCAATTTAAATAATTCCCTCATTCCTGGTTTCCGTATCTTTAAATTGGTGCTAAATGTTGTAAGGAATTGTGTAAAATACAGGTAGAAATAGTCTGAAAACTGTGCAGCCAGAGGATGAGAAGTATTTTTATGACTAGCAAGAATACAGAGAGTTATCCTGCAAATTTGAAGGAATGAGAGTATATTTTCCACAGGAAGGATCAAGTAAAAGGTTTATAGAGTAGGTGGTGCTCCAGGTGGCAGTATTTAGGGACTTTAACATTCCAGGAGGTACAACTGAGCCCCCTCCGCACTGCCTTGAATGCAGATGCTGGATGCCATGAGTCCTGGTCCCCCGCCTCCTCCCTGTAGCTTACTTTCCTCTCCCTGCTCTGATGGTGGCTAATCAACCCCCTACTAACATTCGTGCACTGAATTAAGATGTGGTACAGCCGGTCCTGCAAGGTCCCTAATCACAAGACTCACAGGGTCATTTATTTCCCCTACAGACAACATCTTGATATTTGGTCTTGTCTGGAGGGGTTTCTTTTTCAAGAACCCGAAGCCCCGAGCCAAAAAGAACTACCACTTGCACATTGGCCCCAGACTGACTGGAGCCCCTGGGAATATCATTAAAATTCCCTAATGGACATGATACTGTTGACCAATCAAACGAGGGCCATGAGCACTGCAGACCAACCAGGAACGTGGACAGGAGCTGAACACACCTCTCTGCCCTCACTTCATCTGTAAGAACCTTTACCTCTACCGCCTTGGGGAATGCTGATGAGTGGCTCTCTGTGCACCGAATGTGCAGTCCCAGTAGTGGAGGATCCATAGCATGTCTTCCAACTAGTTTTGGAAATCACTCTTTTTTTTAAGATTTACTTATTTATTTGAAAGAGTTACACAGAGAGAGAAGGAGAGGCAGAGAGAGGTCTTCCATCTGCTGGTTCACTTTCCAACTGGCTGCAACAGCCAGGGCTGTGCCGATCCAAAGCCAGGAGCCAGGAGCCTCCTCCAGGTCTTTCACGTGGGTGAAAGGGCCCCCACTTGGATCATCTTTTACCGCTTCCCATAGCAGTAGAGGCCACAGCAGAGAGCGGGATCAGAAGTGGAGCAGCCGGGACTCGAACCGGCGCCCACATAGGATGCGGCACTGCAGGCAGTTGGCCCTACCCGCCACACCACAGTGTCGGCTCCTGGAGATCATTCTACAACCAAATGGCAACCATGAAGGAACTACTGTCCTGAATGGGCATCTTCCCTGAGTCAAACTGGGAACAGTCCAGCAGCTGCCCAAACACTTATTTTTCTTGATCTGATTTTGTTGTATTAAGGCACTTTTGGGGTACAAGAAATCGGCTTAAAATTTAGGGCATCATCTCTGGTGAGTACCAATCTCCTGCATGGCAATGCCATCATAATATCTCTTGGGCTAGTTTGATTCAACTGTGACTAGACATTGGACTTAAAGGGAACACTCCCTTTTAGGAGGTAGAGAGCTGCTTAGAGAGAATGCTTCGTAACTTGCCAAACTTGGTTTATTTTTATTTTTTTATTTTTTGACAGGCAGAGTGGACAGTGAGAGAGAGAGACAGAGAGAAAGGTCTTCCTTTTGCTGTTGGTTCACCCTCCAATGGCCACCATGGCCAGCGCGCTGCGGCTGGCCCACCACGCTGATCCGATGGCAGGAGCCAGGTGCTTTTTCTGGTCTCCCATGGGGTGCAGGGCCCAAGCACTTGGGCCATCCTCCACTGCACTCCCTGGCCACAGCAGAGAGCTGGCCTGGAAGAGGGGCAACCGGGACAGAATCCGGCGCCCCAACTGGGACTAGAACCTGGTGTGCCGGCGCCGCAAGGCGGAAGATTAGCCTAGTGAGCCGCGGCGCCGGCCCCAAACTTGTTTTAAAACTTGGTTCTTTGTGATCCAACATGGGAAGCGGGATACACAGCAGACTCATAGAATGGCAGATGTCCTAAATAGCACTCTGGCCTCAGAATCAGCCCTTAAGACATTCGGATCTGGCTGAAGAGCCCATGAGAGTATTTTAGGCATGGAAAGCCAAAACACTCAGGAAAAAAAAAAAAAAAAAAAGAAGACCTAAATGAAAGATCTCTGCAAGTGAGATCCCAGTGGAAAGAACGGGGCCATCAAAGAAGGAGGTACCTTTCTCTGAAGGGATGAGAGAACTTCCACTTTGACTATGACCCTGTCAGAATAAGATCCAAGTCGGGGAACCCAAAAGGCTTCCATAGCCTTGGCAACTCATGACTAGAGCCTAGGGAGATTACTGACGCCATAACAAGAGTGTCAAATTGTTAAGTTAACAACAGGAGTCACTGTGTACTTACTTCTCCTGTGGGATCTGTCCTTAAGGTGTTGTCCAATGTGAAGTAATGCTATAACTAGTACTGAAACAGTATTTTTACACTTTGTGTTTCTGTGTGGGTGCAAACTGATGAAATCTTTACTTAATACATACTGAATCGATCTGCTGTATATAAAGATAATTGAAAATGAATCTTGATGTGAATGGAATGGGAGAGGGAGCGGGAGATGGGAGGGGTGTGAGTGGGAGGGAAATTATGGGGGGGGGGAAAGCCAATGTAATCCATAAGCTGTACTTTGGAAATTGATATTTACTAAAGAAAAAAAAAAGAAAAGCTCAAAGAATAAAAAAAAAAAAAGAAATACAACTTAATTAAAGCTTTATCCTAGCCCCCCCTCAAAAAAAATTTGGTTCTTTGACAGATCCTGCAGTACATAGCTCTACCTGTATAGTCCCCTAGGGTGTATTACCCAAAAGTAAGAAATGATACATACAAAAGTATTTTTAAAAAACGTGACGCCAGTGCCGCAGCTCAGTAGGCTAATCCTCCGCCTTGCGGCGCCGGCACACCAGGTTCTAGTCCCGGTCGGGGCACCGGATTCTGTCCCAGTTGCCCCTCTTGCAGGCCAGCTCTCTGCTGTGGCCCGGGAGTGCAGTGGAGGATGGCCCAAGTGCTTGGGCCCTGCACCCCATGGGAGACCAGGATAAGTACCTGGCTTCTGCCTTCGGATCAGCGCAGTGCGCCGGCCACGGCACGCCAGCCGTGGCGGCCATTGGAGGGTGAACCAACGGCAAAGGAAGACCTTTCTCTCTGTCTCTCTCTATCACTGTCCACTCTGCCTGTCAAAAAACAAAAACAAAAACAAAAAAAAACTAACGTGATGCTGTTTCACTGTAATATTCCTAGTAATATTTCATTACAATATTATAATATTGCTGTATTACCATACACCCTAAGACTGAATGATAAGTGGTCACTTAATAGATTTCTGAGTGATGTCACTTTTTCCCCAGCTAGAATTTTTTTCATGAAGAGATACTAAAATGAGAATAAGTTCTGTATATGCAAGATTTTATGCTATCATATTAGAGAGACAATATAGAAAAAATGGAATACACCTAGAATAACGGTTCAGAAAAATTGTAATAACCTACATGTATGTTGGTTCTTATAACTTAAGCAAATTTTTGATATATAAACTGCTTTGAATTTGTTTTTAGAAAGGGCAAAGATTTCAAAATTGTTAAAATACATTTATGCCTCGGTTTGCTTGCCAGGAAATGTTGTACTTATCCTTGTTGGTTATTTAGAATTATAAAAGTCTAACTTTAGCTCAGGAACAAATAATGCAGATTAAGATGCCATGTAGCATTTATTGTGTGCTGTGTATTAAGCACAATAATGTAGTCTTTAGAATTTTTCTTTGACAAGAAAATGATGTAAAATTATAATTATGCTTGTGTCATATCTCAGTTTCTCAATTAATCTAAGTATAGTTGTTAAATATGAATTGGGTAAATTAAATGAGACAAATGTTTCTAAAGATAAAAGTATTCTTAACTTCTTAAAATTCTATAAAAGGGACAGTACCTTTGGTACTATTGATAAATATATTTTCATTAGTTGTTGCTATGCGACAAAAACTTCAAGACTGCTTGAAAGTAAGTAAAGTTGGGAGGCCGGCGCTGTGGCATAGTGGGTAAAGCCTCCGCCTGCTAGGACCCAGAGTTTACCTCACTGAAAATAGCTCTCCGTTGATTCAAATTAAGGTGAAGTCCTACAGGAAGAGGGTGGGCCCCTCGTCCAATGCAGCTGGTGTCTCCACCGAAAGGGGCAGCGTGGGCATAGGCGCCCAGGGCAAACACCATGTAGAGCCTGGAGCCACCTGAAGCTAACAGCGAGGTCTGACCAACCCCTCGCTAGGGCCTGCAGAGGGAGCAGAGCTGTCTGCATCTGGGACTTCCAGCGTGCAGAACAGAGCGGCTCTCCTCGCTCACGGTTTAACTACCCACTTCGGGGGTACTGCCTTGTTAGGCACCCCCCAGGAACGCACTCAGCGGATCTGGAGGGGAGCAGGCCGCAGCATGTGCAGGTTCTGTAAGTACTTCAGATGAGACGGAAGTGCAGGGAGCAGCCCACGGGCCACACTTTGAGAAACACTGCTGGAAGCTCCAAGAAGAAGACGCTTAAGCACGCACGGGAAAGTAGCAAGTAGATGCGTGCCACTCCCCGAGTTTATCAGCACTTAGAGATGGGCGTAAGCTCCATTCGCACGTTGCCAGGAACGCGCCCCACTCTTTCTTTCCACCATTTACACTGGGTTCAAAGCCACCACTCCTTCCTTCCTCTGTCTGCCTCCCATGCACCCATTTCCCTTCCAACTGTGTGTTACCCCATTTTAGATGCTTCCGACTGAGACGGTTAGAAAGCCGCCTCGCAGATACTTTGTTTCATCTGTCTCCCACAGCCAGGTTGTCACATCCATCCGTGCACTCTTGGCTTGCAGCCCAGCGCCAAGCAAACACAACACACTTCATGTGTTCCCTTAATGAATGAATGAAATAACTCACGCCGTAATTACACCCTCCACCTGCTCCGGCTTTAACCATAGGCGATGTCTTGGCGGAAACGACATTGACAACCGTGGGGAAGAAGAGAGCCTCACGGCTGCCTATCAGCCGGAGAGAGCCCTGGGGGAGGAGCGCATTAAACCAAGAAAGAAGCCTCAGCATAATTAACGCGAGCTGAGTGTCTGGAATCACCCAAGAGCCCATACAGACTCCCACAGAAAGCCACATGAGAGTACATCGCACCAGCTCAACGAACGGCTGAGGCGGCAGGAGAACACCCCCGCCAACCGGGGCTGCAGGTGGCCAGGCTGCGGCCAACGCTCACGCTGACCCGTGTGCGACACTGGGGCGCCGAGTGGCCGCTCCGGCCGTCTCCCGTGTGCAGACGCTAACTCGGACTCCCCCCAGGGGCCAGACAGGTCGGCGGTCACCACCCCGGGAGGACGCGTTCTCGCCTCACCTTATCCGCTCCCTTGGGCTCTTGGGACACCATTTCACCCCGGACAAGCAGAATCAGGGCTCGCCCCCTCACCCGTATCCCTCATTGTCCCAACTCACCATGAGGAGGCGGTGGCCAGCGTCCTCGGTCCGCGGTCAGCGAAGGAGGTTGTGTGGACAAACGCTGCCCGGTTGTCACGACGACAGGCCCCGCCCACTCGGGGGGCTCCAAGGCCGGCGCGCGCGCAGCGCCCTGCGCAGTCGCGCTGGGGTCCTTCCGGCTGGCGCTCCTCCCCTTTTGGTGACGGCTGGATCCGCCCCCTTACCGCGCCCCGCCCCGCTCTCGCGGTTGACTGACGGAGCCGTGGAAGTGGTCGGCGGCGTTTACGGCTGTGGCGTGCCGGAAAGTGCGTGAGTGGCGGCGCCCGGGCGGTGCGGCGTTTTCCGGATCCCGGGGCTCGGAGGTGGCGGTGTGCTCTGGGCGCGGCCCGGCGGCTGTGGGCAGGGTGTCCCAGCGTCCCCCGACGCTGACAGCCGGTCGTGCTCACTGTTTTCCGAGCGGGTGTTGGGGCGGGTCTTCCCGGGGGAGGGTTTGCGATTGGATCCAGCGACTGGCACCCTGGGGGGCTGCCCACGGCCGGGGCAGGAGGGGCACGGGACTCCTGGTTTGGCCAGGGAGGTGAAGAGGTAGCTGAATTGGCTCTAGAAGGGCTGTTGACTTTGAGATGGGTGACCTTCGGCCTCCTCTGCGCTCGGGGTTCTGTTTACTTTCCGGGCGAAGTAGACGCCCTGTTCCCCAAGGGCAGCCCGGAGCAATTCTGGGGCAAGCCGTGGCCTGCAGAGGAAGAGCGCCAGGCCCAGCGAGAGCGCGAGGTCGCAGGCCGCTGTGCCCACCGGCGGCACGACCTTCGCACCTGCCGCCTCCTGCCTGGCTCTCTACACCCCGGGAAAACCAGATGCGGTGACGCCACGCTGGGCTCCCTCTCCCTGACCCTGCAACCTCTCTCAGCCCTGCCCTTGGCGGGAGGAAACAGGGACAGTGTCACGGGACACCGCTCCCCCGGTCCTGGGAGCAAGATGCAAGCACCTTACTGGGACTTTTAGTTCTAATGTAGTCTCCCGTGGCTACTTGGTCTGGAAGTCTGTCTGCTTGGTTTTGAATTAATCTAACAGTGCAGAATGCAAGCCTGCCACAGTAGGATGGATCGGTGGGAATAAGGAGGCGCCAGGGTGACCCCCAGTTACCTTAGACTGCTGGGACTCCAGGAGAGACTCTGAAACCCGCCTCCCTGCCCGGGAGGAGGCACTGCGGTGGGGTGCTGGATTCCGGGGGCGAGCCCGTGTTCGAGGAGTCACAGCTTCGTTTTCCTCAGGCACCTGGACGGGCTGCCGAACTGCCAAGGCCACCCCGTGCCTGTCCTGTCTTCCTCACCTTCGGACAGATTCGTGTCTGCCCCTTCTAAAAGCACATCCCCATCTCCTTGCGACTCCCGCGTGTCACCACCGAACCGGCTGCCACTCACCTCCGCTACGTACTCTCTGGAAGCGCCTGCGTGCAGTCTTCCGGGCTCGCTGAAGCCAAGCAGTGAGAATAACGTGGTACCGGCATAGCTCACCCGGCCAGTTGCCTTCAGCCTCAGTTATCATTGAACTTCACGGGGAATAACCACTAGTGAAGTGACAACTCTGCTTTAACCCAGGACTGGGGCTGTTTCAATTGAGTCCAGTCACTGGAGAAAACCTACAGCACAGTGGGGATCGCACCCCCTATAACCCACACACGCTGCAGTCTCAGAATAACGAGGGCTCCTCTCAGTCGCCAGCTCATCCGGCAGTTACCTACCTCTCGGACTTCACGCAGGGTTAAGGAGCGGCCCCAGGCCCCATTTGGACTGCTCACCTGGGAACCCTGGGGCCCCCTTTTCTCCCCATGGCTAAACTAAACCTGCTGCCTGAAGGCCAAGTGTAGAGTAATAAAGATGAACTGCATTGTTCTGGATAAACTCATGTCAAAGACTTGGACAGACTTCCCTTAGTTCCGTGAGCTTTTTCGCTAGGCAGATATTCAGTTATTCGTAAACGCTACAAGGGACACCTTCAGGCAGGTGTCCGAGTCTCACAGGCTACACACTGAATTAACTGAAGCTGTGCTCTGCGTGGCATTCTGCGCCCTGTGATTTGCAATCCGAAATTACATCTATGTAGTTTTAATTCTGATTTTAAAAATGCATTTTTGTCATTTCTCAGTAAGAATGAACCATATGAATCACACTGGAAATGAGTCTCTACCAAAACAAAAAGATTTTTAATGAAAGGGACTCTCCTGGACACACATGGGGTTATGTCCTGATAATCCTATCAGAAGCTGAAAATACAATTGTAACTCACAAATACATTTAATATGCCTAACATATTGAACATCACAGGTTAGCATAACCTTACACCTGCGTACAACACTCAACTAACCTTAGATTACTGTTGGGCAAAAGCATCCAAGACAAAGCCTACTGTACAACAAAGTGCTGGGTCTCTAAAACGGGAATTTTACAAATATGATGTGGAAGCAATGGCAGTTCCTGGGTGATTTGTTTGCCCTAAGAAAGGAGCCAGAGACGCAGATGTATGAACTCCAGCAACAGAAGGTTACAGTGGCCACTCAGACACTATACCGGCGGCATTTGTCCATTTGTCTTTCAGGTTTACGTGGCATCTTCAAAAAGTTCACAGAAAATGCATACTATGAAAAAGTGCATGGATTTCAAAAATTTTTGCAGCAAAATAAACTTACCCATTAATTTCATTTTTTTCCACAATTTTTTTAAGTACCCTTGTACTTTTTTAAAAATGTCAAGTGCTTACCTGCAGGGCTTCCTCCCCAGAGAAGCATACAGGTTTTGTGCAGCCTGACTGGTGGCAGGCTGGACTACCACCCAACCCTCTGAGAACCAGCACCCCGGTTCTAGTCCCGGTTGCTCCTTGTCCAGTCCAGCTCTCTGCTGTGGCTCGGGAAGGCAGTGGAGGATGGCCCAGATGCTTGGGCCCCTGCACCCGTGAGACCAGGAGGCACCTGGCTCCTGGCTTTGGATTGGCACAGCGCCGGCCATGGCGGCCATTTGGGGAGTGAACCAACAGAAGGAAGACCTTTCCCTGTCTATAATTCTGTCTTAACTCTGCTCAAAAAACAAACAAAAAACACCAAAAAACAAAAAACTGATCTAAAAAGTCTAAGTTGCTTCCTGCTGTGGTTCTGAATAATTCAGTGCAAAAGCCAGTTAGGTGGGGCCAAGCAACGAAGGCATCTGGGAAAGGGGGAGGAGGATGAGAAATAGTTGGCAAGGCAGCAGCCCAGCAAGGGTGACCAGAACCAGTGTGGGGTGGGGGTGGGGCTGTGCATGAAAGCAGCCTGGCATGAGGTGAGAAGGGCATTCTTAGGTGGTGGCACAGGTTGGAGTCGGAACAGGAGAGAGAAGTGGTGTAGACTAAGTCGTTTGTGCCCAAGAGAATGGGGAGGATGAGACCGTGGTAATGGTGGTCTGGCACCAGGTTGCAGGGCTCTCAGTAGAGTGCTGGGTGATTAAAGTGACAGGAATTTGGTTCCACGATCCAAAAATCTGTTTCTCATTATTGGGTCCAAAGTGCAAAACCATGGACAGGGAGAAACTAAAAAAAAACTCTATAGTGTTGGAATACAATTTTAGGTGTCAGATTGTATGGAGACTGATAGATACATACTCATTAGTATCCACCTGTACATTTGCAGCATCGTCCTGTTAGTGGACCTGGGAATAGTGATCACCCTGAAGTAATGAGGACTTCTGGCACCCAGACCTTGGCTTCTAACATTCCACCAAGATTAGTTTCTAAATACAGCGTTAGGAACTTTATGATTAATTGCTACTCCAGTAGTCAGAGGTAGACATTCCTTTCCAGGTTTAGGCTGTGGTACAAAGGCTGCTCAGTGGCCTCTTCGCCACCTGCTTGTTGCCCATCTGCCTTTGCCAGCCTGCTCCGTTTCTCCTGGGTTTTAGCTGCCGCTTGAATAGCTTCCTTCCAGGTCTGATCAGGGCTCCTTTTGATCCTCTGAATGGATCTGGCCTTCCGTTGACAGCAGGTAAACAGTCTTTCTTCTGATAAGGAAAGTAAACAGCCTGAAAATTAGGCAGCTGGGATTAGCTGGTTCAGATTTGTTCTAATTTGTTCCATGGTGGCACAAAGGGGAGATACTGATAATCCACTTTCTATCTCCTTATAGGACCTGTCACATGCCTAACCATTCTTATGTCCCCCTTAGAAGTCAGTTCTGTAAAAAGAATAGAACTGATTCATAGGTATATCCCAGTACCTGGGACATAAAAGGACTCAATATTTATTGACTGTAAAAGCTGCTGCTTCCCACTATGTAATGTTTCTTCTCTGATAAATCTTAAAGACTACAATATACTTATTTGCAAAAAAAAAAATCTTTTCTTTAGGTATGTTATAAATGGAAGTGGATAGTTTCCGATTTCCAAGATAAATGAACATGGCCAATTCTTTAAGAGGAGAAGTACTGAATCTTTACAAAAATGTAAGTAATTATGTTGCCATTCTTATACATGTTATTTTAAGACATGAATTGTTTAGAAATATATAATCTTTCTTTTTTAAGCTGCTGTATCTTGGACGAGAATATCCAAAAGGAGCAGACTATTTTAAAAGGCGTCTGAAGAATGTTTTCCTTAAAAACAAAGATGTGAAGGACCCAGAGAAGATCAGAGAACTTATTGGACGGGGCGAATTTGTGATGAAAGAGTTAGAAGCCTTATACTTCCTTAGGAAATACAGAGCTATGAAACAACGCTATTACTCAGATACCAACAAAACTAACTGATCATTGCTACTGTAACTGGCTAAAAATGCTGTGAAATAGTTCTGACTCAAAATTGTCAGATACACAGGCTGTGTTAAAGCACACACACAAATGCTGTGCTGGCCTACTCCGGTTGAATTTCACCTGCTATTCAAACTGAGAGCTTCATCAGCAACCTTTAATGCTCAAATTTTATACTAAAATAGCAATTAACTATACCTTCAATTACAAATTAACAAGCACCCCCTTTTGAATGAACATATAATATACTCAAATGTCTGATTTAATAGATTTTAGCCAATTACTCTGCCTGTTTCTCCATTTTACTGACAGGAGATTGCTATTCAGTGTCCCATTTCTTACGCATTTATTCCTCTTTAAAGTATTTTTGACCCAATTTGGTGCATTAACATTACATATTCAAGGTTCACTGCAAAACAAATAGCAACTGCTAATGACCTCAATGTAGTTACAGAAATAATATGATGTATGGAGTAAGATTATTTCTGGCTCTGAAATTCTCTGCTGGTGACTGGCATTACATACATTATTTCTATTATTAATTTGGCTGCTGACTCCCTCTGGGCCTTCAAACAAATCACCTGTTGTGCCCCACTTACCTTCCTTGATAAAAAGTAATAAATGTTGTACACTCTTGTCCTAAAGCAGATTTGTTTCACATCTACTTCTCCACAGGTTAACATGGCAGTGGATCTAGAGCTAATATGGTTTTATGTTTAAGCACTTAAACCTCTACATGATGTTCACAACAGCTTTTATAAATAAAGAATACTTTTCCTAACTTACAGCCTGGTATACTTGTAAGATTCACTGGTGTGCTACAGTGTCTGTGGTTTATAAAGTACTCCATGATCAACTTTGAGGTAAATGTCTTGAATTTCCAATAAGAAATACACACTATCATAGTCACCATAACTATTTTTATTACATTACAATAATTAGGAGCAGTACAGTTCATGACAAAAATATTACAAATTTCATATCACTTCACAGCACATACTCCTATAAACATTTAAAAGTTAATTTTAATTAAAAGAGTGGTCACTTTAAAATTTAATGTTTGATATGACCAACATTCCTAAGTCAGCGCAACCAAAGGATGGAAAACAACTGGATCACACTGCATATGTCCCACAAAAAAAGCACAATGTACAAAATGTGCATGTTTCAGTTTACACTATACAAAAATAGTTAAAATACATTCCAGGTAAACATGTTACATTAAGAAATAGTACTAGTAAGAAATTGGCACTCAAAGGAAAAATGCAAAAGTATTTTCAACATGAAAACACAAGACAGTGGAACTGGAAATTTGGATAAGCATCATATAACTCACTGAGCACTAGTGGGGGTGGTGGGCCTTCTGTGACAGATGTTTCTGCAGGTAATAACTTTTGTCTTTTCTAAGTCCATCTAAGTTGCCTCTCATCATCCCAAACAGGCACTTCAAACTAGTCAACTAAAACACAAATCTTCATCTAGTTATGACTATGCATCAAAAACTAATGTGAATGTATCTCTAAGAAATAATTTTCATTTTCTGACAGAATTTACAGCTATTAGTTGTATGTTATTGAATTTCTCAATGCAGAATTCATGCTACCCAACAGTATCAAAGAAGTTATTAAATATAAATTGTTTTAAATTAACTGCTGGGTTTCCAAAAGCACTACCAAGTAAAGACCAAGAAATTACTATTTTTGACAAATGGAAATGTTTTCAGATAGTCTGTATTGCTGACCAAAAAAATTCCTAAATGTGTATGTATTTGTTTGGAAAAAAAAGAATGGTGCACAGGAAAAAAAAAAAAAAAAAAAAAAACAGCTCTGGAATACAAATGAGATGAACTTGTGCAAACTGTAACTTAAACATGCTTCAGAAAGTTCCTATAGATGAATATATTAGGACAAAATTGTGCAATCATGGCAAAGGTTTTGTCTGATAACCCAAAAAAGTTATATTCTAAATTCCTATGCAGTGTGACTCAGTTAAAATAGAGCCTAGAATTCCTAATTGGGACTATTCCACTCAAATTATGCTACATATGCCAGCTAAGTTCTTCCACAAACATGTTAATGCCTAAGACTATATAATTTAGCACTGTTTTCCAATTTCAATGAGGATTTTTATGTTTAAGGCTATTACAATTAGGTAACATTTATGTTATTTCTAGAATTCTCTCCATCTTTAAAATCTCTAAAGAAATCTTTTGTTAAGCCATTCAAAATTCACACCACAAAGGATCATTACCACTACCTTCAAAACATTGCCCAGCTACATCAAATATCCCCTCCCTTATGCACTGCGGTTCCTAAAGTGTGGTCATGTCTCTCTGTGTAAAAATGAGAAGAGGTACTGGTTAAGTCATAACACCCTATCTAGACAATACTCAAAAAATCTGCAGTTCAGCATAGATAGCATTTCACAAATCATACTCGTTTTTACACAGAAATTCCCTTTTCTGTGAACTGGTTCAGGCACCTGCTTGTACCCAGATGAAACTATTTTGGAAGCCAATATTTAATTTTTAAAAGTCTATTTTAATTATTTCTACAAAGATAAAACTGGAATATTACATACTTTGGAATTTAAATTAGTATCTGACATTTAACAATGTATACTATAACTGTCTCAACAGAATCACAGTTATGCCAAATAAAAAACAATAAAATCAAATTTACTCTATTAAACAATGAAGTTAAGTGATTTACATAAAGTAACTTGATTAAACAGTTACAATGGAATCATAGCAAAACAATTATCTTAGAACTGGAAGAACCCTCACAGCCCAAATCCCTTCTTTGCAAAAGTAAAATTCACATTGTGTTCCCTCTGGGTCGCGTCCAGATGCCTTGCTACGGCATTATAGACTATGGCAGCACAGCGTAAGGCCAGGGATTATGCCCCTCCTTTGGGTGTACCTTATCTGTAGTTTTTCGTATAGTGGCTGGCATCGGGTAGGCACTCAAAGTATTTGTAAAATATACGAGTTCTGCCAAAAAGCACTTTAAATTAAATTTTGAAGTATTTTTCACTGTGAGAAGACTTCAGTTACCATAAAATGGAATGCATCATTGGTAGCAGAGCTAGTCCTACTTGTAGACTGCAGCATTCCCTTTGTTTACTAAATTCTCCTTCCACTGGATAGCACTATCTATTCAGATCTAGTTTGAAAATTCCTAGTCACCAGAAGACTGGGCTGCAAAGAGCTGACGTTTAAGGGTCATGATTAAATTGCTACAGGTACCACACAAAAATCAACTCTTAGGTCAAATTCCATTATAGTATCTATCAGATTATTTTGAGCCCTGAGAAAATAAGATGTAGGGCATTTTGAATGTGACCTCCTGGGAAAATGTCACAGAGACATCCATAGCAGCAACACATTTTGAGGTTAGGGGAATTAGAACAGGATTAAAAGAAAGCTGCATCAAGGCATGGGTCTTATGGAAGCACAGGCAGGCAAGAAGACACTAATGTGGGAGGGGAGTCCTGAAACTGCAGAATGGCTACTCACAAATATAAACTTCACCCCATGCACAATTTTGCCCAAGACTAGCAATGAAGATGGTAACACAGGTAAAAGGTTAGACTGTACAGAGTTTGACAAACACATGTATGCTTATTAAACTAAACGTAAACCAAACGGCTATGGAGTTAACACAGAGCCTTTGAGATGATAACTTTCAACATGAAGACATGGACAATACATGATTTGCTCAAAATCCAGAATGCTACAAGAAACGTATCTAGCATCTAAGTTACCTTCCTCCTAGTCTGGTGCTATTTTCAACTCATCATATCATCTCATTCTAAATGCATCGCAAGAACTTTTTATTGATGTTAACTTATCTGTTCTTAAGCATTATTTTCAAATTTGGATCACGATGGAAAATTGTTTATGAAATGTTACTTTAACCAATGTTAAGAGAATTCATGAAAGTAGAGATTTTGAAACTTTCTCACTTCATAGCCTAAAAAAAATGTGGGCATATCCCAACCCCCAAATTTCAACTTCCAAGTTAATATTTAAAAGTAATTTTTTAAAAGTTAAAAAAAAAAAGGTGATGCTCTTGATTTGTCTGTAGGCCACCACATCTTTCTGAGCTGTGCAAACACTCTCCTGGTCCCCACTGTGACCAACGATGCCTGGCAACACTAGATGAACACAGGATAGTCTGTGTCCTGACACTCTTGGGGAAGCCTCAAAGGTTCCTACAGGGCCTGGCCTTACAACCTTGGTCTCTTCAACAACTACTAAGCTGTATCTGGCTCATAGAATCATCAATATCACTACTGGAATTAATAATATTTTCAAAGACTGAGGTCCAAGAAAAGATGTAAATTTATGCTAAGGAACAGCAATCTGACACAGGGAACCTATGTTCAATTCCTATGAGAATTTTTCACACAATTGTTTCATTAATTATAAAAATTTAGTAGCACATAAATATAGCCCTGAAATGGCTGCTATAATCCCCACTTCATACTTGGTTTGCCTTAATAGGAAAAGCAATATATTCGGAGTCTTAGTCTTTCCATTGCCCTGAAATTTTTACCATTTTTTCCTTTTTATAGAAAAAATATAATATTTGGAGGACAGTGACCATAACCAGCAGCGGGAATACGAGAAAACCTTGGGAACAGTGTAACTTTCTATTTGTGAGGATGACACAGTGGAGGACATGATGCCTAGAAGATGAATCAACAGGAAGTCCATACATTCGTATTCCCTCAATGTTTCAGGAAAACCAATCAAAAAATCTCAACTGAAGTTAGTTACTAATTAATGCATTTAAGTGACTAAATAAAACCTAAAATAGGGATGATCTGAAAGCTTCATTAATTTGTTTCACACCAACGTTCACAATTATTAAGAAAAACAGGAAGGAATCGACTGCATGCACCAAAACCCCAAGACGGCCATCTCAGGTGTTCAGTTTCTTTTTCACAGGCTTTGCTAGGAAAACCAAAATCAGGGAATGCTGGCACATAGAGGGGGAAAAGGAAAAAAAAGTTTCCACTGTCATTTTAAAATAAGCATTTAGGATAAAGGCTAACAGTTTGCATGGAGCTGAAAAAAAAATTAAGTAATGCTAAAACAAATGCTAATAATTTAGTGTAATGTACAAAAATTACCACTTTTACTTAAGTATGCCTTAAGAAAAAAGTACAAATTGTATTTACATAATTATACACTTTGTCTTTGACTTCTTTTTCTTCTTTTTACCATCTTTGCTCATCTTTTCTTTATGTTTTCGAATTTCTCGAACTAATGTATAGAAGGCATCGTCAACACCCTGAAATACATAAAAAGTATTAAAATGTGATGATTTATATATGATGGCTTGAGGTACACAATTAACAGATTTCCTTTCATAGAAACATTAATTTGAGAAATAATAAAAGCACTTTATGTTTCTCCAAGAGCACCTGAATATACATCTCACATATAGCACTTTTAGGATTCTTAAATGGATATTCTATCAACATTAGGAACAGGAAAACTGATTTTCACAACAAGCAAAGATAATCAATAGTACAAAATCAAATTAAACAAATGACTTTTTTCCAGGAGAACTTAATTTGCTACTAATTCTTCCATAGTGGCTAACTTTAGTCACCAAAACCTATTGTGTTTACATGTGAGTGTATGTGTGTTTGCATGTGTGTTGTTTGTGAGAGACAGAGAGGGCAACAGACATTTTTGTTCCTGAGTTTCTGGACTTTATATATAAAGTCATGCAACTATAAATTATTTTCATATATATTCACAATAACTGTATTTGAGTCCTGATTCCATACTTACACAAATCTACTAGGTTTAACTAATTTACTAAGAAGTATCCAGTAACTGAATCTACTATTCTGGTTTTCAAATTATGGTGATACCAATTTTAATTTATATACTTATCATTAAGAAAGGGTCTAAAGTGACCCTAATATGAGATAATATTACTTTGGAAAACGAAACACTTCTACTTTGTAGAGAAATGAGCTAAAAGTTCATGCAGTACAGTTTAATTTGGAACAGATTCTCTCTTATTTTTTGCTGCTGTGGTTTCTGTTTAATACACTTGAGATTCAGGAGTATGCCAGATAAAGCCAAATGCCCTGTCTTCAAAGAGTTTTCTTCACTTGGCCATTGAGGTCTACATCTATTTGTGATCAAAGCAAGATCAGTTATGGCTAAAAGTGATTTTTAATTCAGAATAATTAAACATAATAATCTGAACATGGAACAGAATATATCTTAATACTGCAGTACTTAAACTATGCAAGATAAGGCAAAGCTAGAAGCATGAAGAAAAAATAAGATCTTCTCTGTATTCAACTATTAAATGAAAATCTGTTAGTCTAATAATGCTTCCAAACCTAGACACTAGAGGGAGTCTTAGGAACAAATTACCAACATATTAAGTTGTATAAATCAAGCCACTCTATGAACAATGAAAATTGCATTTATACTCATTACAATCACCCTTGTTGAATATTATAAATTATACATATTATATGTATCTTAAATATCATAACATGTATAAATGTATTTATTTAATTCTATTATCTTGAAAACAATTTTAAAATAAGTGATATGACTTCTCCTTTACTAATATCTTCAGTAATTATATTTCAAAATCACAAAAATAATCCAGGACATTTTCTTTCAAGTTATATTTAACTAATTTTCACAACTGATCTGTAATTCAAAAAGAGTAAAGTAAGCACACACTGGGAATGGGAGAATTGGCCCACATTTAATCTAGTAATAGGATAAAAACCAGCATTACTGATAAGAATATTAGTAAATACAAGTCCTGAATAGAGTTGCACTAATACATGTTTTCCACTTCCTGGTATCATTACTGATAAAATACAAACACATGCTTTGTTTATCCCAAAGGAGAAAGAGTGCTAAGAAGTAACTTAGATGGCAATGCTATCATGGCTTACCCATTTATTTCTCTCTATATACCCATCTTCTTAATACACAAAGAGGGGAAAACGTCAAATGATACAAAGACTATTCTATATAGTAACAATACTTGACAAGTTAGAATTATAAGCCATTAGAATGGAATGGGCCGGCGCCGCGACTCACTAGGCTAATCCTCCGCCTTGCGGCGCCAGCACACCGGGTTCTAGTCCCAGTCGGGCCACCGGATTCTTTCCCGGTTGCCCCTCTTCCAGGCCAGCTCTCTGCTGTGGCCTGCGAGTGCAGTGGAGGATGGCCCAGGTGCTTGGGCCCTGTACCCCATGGGAGACCAGGATAAGTACCTGGCTCCTGCCATGGGATCAGCGTGGTGCGCCGGCCGCGGCGGCCATTGGAGGGTGAACCAACAGAAAAAGGAAGACCTTTCTCTCTGTCTCTCTCTCTCTCACTGTCCACTCTGCCTGTCAAAAAAAAAAAAAAAAAAAAAGGGAGCTTTGTGCTGCACTGTGGCATAGGCATAGGGAGTTAAGCTTCTGCCTGTGACACCAGCATCCCAAATGGGCACCAGTTCGAGTCCCAACTGCTCCACTTCCAATCCAGCTCCCTGCTAATACACCTGGAAAACAGTGGAAGATGGCCCAATTCATTGAGCCCCTGCAGCCATGTGGGAGACTCGAAAGCATTTCAGGCTCCTGGCCTCAGACAGAGCCCACCTCTGGCCACTACAGTCATCTGGGGAGTGAACCAGTGGATGGAAGCTCTCTCTCTCCGTAATTCTACCTTTCAAATAATTAAATAAATCTTTAAAAAATATATATATATAACTCTTCTACCCTTTGTGAATTAATTCCCTTTGATCATAAATCCTTACATAGTGAACCGTTTTGACTACTACTCCAAGGAAGAAAAATGCAAATGGTTAGAAGAAGCAGAAAAAAAAAGGAAAAACCATGAGATGGACAGAGAAGCTAGACAAATTCTAAGATAAAAACAATGTACAAATATTTAACAAAAAAATGACAGAATCTGATGAGATGACATCATCCACTTCTAAGATTCTGCAAATACCCTAGTCTCTTGTTGCACTACTTTCCACATGATCTTATTAAAATGAACTCATTTCACTGACTAGAGAAATGTCACAATCTAAACATGTAGTGAACTATTCATATTGATACATATAGGTAAGAAATAAAAGCAGTATAATATCCCAGTAATAATAATATCCCAGTAATCAGTCTGTATAAACCTATGCTTTTCTGGGCTAAGAAAAACTAACTTGTAAACATTTGTCATTGTCAAAATTTTCTTTTAAAGAAAATTTTTATTTAACTTTAAATCACTAAAAATCACCCAGTACATTTTTTATATAAATGCTACTGGTGCCCATGAAACACACAAGGATTCACTGGGTCAATTATTTCAGTAGTCACTGTGAAAACATAATTTTGCAGAAATTAGAAATTTTACAACACATGCTACATCTTTTTTTTTTTTTTTTTTGACAGGCAGAGTTAGACAGTGAGAGAGAGAGTGTGTGTGAGAGAGAGAGAGAGAGAGAGAGAGAGAAAGGTCTTCCTTCCATTGGTTCACCCCTCAAATGGCTGCTATGGCCGGCGTGCTGCGCCGATCCGAAGCCAGGAGCCAGGTGCTTCCTTCTGGTCTCCCATGCGGGTGCAGGGCCCAAGCACTTGGGCCATCCTCCACTGCCTTCCAGGGCCACAGCAGAGAGCTGGCCTGGAAGAGGAGCAACTGGGACAGAATCCGGTGCCCCAACTGGGACTAGCACATCTTTGTTTTAAATATAAATTTTTATTTTATTCTAAACATTTTAAAATTCACCTAATAGTGAAACAACAGGAAGAGAAAATGAAAATTAAAACCATCACTTAAATCTGGTCATGGTACTGTTAGTTAAAAACTAACTTTTCAGAGCGGGCACTGTGGTATGGCAAGCTAAGTTTCCACTTGTGACACCTGCAGTGGAGTGCCACTCTGAGTCCTGCTCCTTCACTTTTGATCCAGCTACCGGCTACTATGCCTGAGAATGCAACAGAAGATGGCCCAAGTACTGGTCCCTGCCACTCACAAGGGAGGCTTGGATTGAGTTCCTGGCTCCCAGTTTCAACCTGGTCAGTCCCAGCCATTGTCAGCATGTGGAGAGTGAATCAGTAGACAGAAGTTCTGTCTCTCAAATAAATAAACAAAAAAGTTTAACTTTGCAAAGTGCACTGGAATGCTAAATTTTACAACTTCTAAAATAAAATACAGCTGTATATAACAGCACTCAAAAAACAATGAGTTCATAACTGTCCATAAAAATTAATGCCAGCCATGATTTGCTTCTCTGATATTAGGTGGAAGAGAGATTAGTACACTACACAATATCTTTAAGGAATCAGTCTACTAAGATATGTATTTTACACTTTGGGGAGATAAATTATTTGACTTAAAATTCATACAACAAAAAATAACATAGCAGTTTTGAAAATTTTGATTTCATTCACATTCCCACAGAATATTATATATTACAAAAATATGCACTGAAAGCTTAAGCTTTGACATGAACTTTCTGACTCCTACTGAATGAAGTATTATCTGAGCAAGACAGATTAATATGAGTCAGTGTAGAAAGGAAATTGAGAGATGCCATTCAATATATCTTTACTGGGCAGCTACTGTGTGTCAGGAACCTCACCAGGCAATGGCTATATGAAGATTAAGGACATATTTTGCTGGATCTTTAAGATTTTACCTATCTAATAAAGTATACTTCAAATTATACTTTTCAAAAAGGGAATTAAAATAATTTTATTTTGGTGAAAAAGCTGAAATTCATGTGTAGTTTTTATCATAAGGATTTTCTATGAAATTTCTGAAGTGCCCTTTTACAGGTTAATGAACACAAATGAGACTGTTTCAGTGTAACATGAGCAGCATGTTACAGTTAGCAAGAGCATACTGGGAAGACACAGGAACAGTTGCCCAGCTGAACAGTTTGAGAAAAGTTTCTTACAGAATAGGCATTAGGAGAATCATGAAAAAGCATAAGCTAATTAACAGACCAGGGTTAAGAATATACCTTTTCAAGTAGGTGCCACAGGGAAAGTAGGGGATAACATGGTGTATATTACATAAGGCCAAAAAACAAATAAAGGTAATTCCATTCAATGATGACGTTTTTTAGATATACACCCCCAGTAGGCTGGTGAGATAAGAAGGTGTTAAGGACTAATTATGGCATGCTATGGTATTGACTAGATTTAAAACAAAGAGAATGGTATTTCCTGGTAAACCAAGCAGGAGGCATCTTAACAGTTCTGGCAAGAAATAATAGGGGCCTGAACCAATGATGTGATAAAAAGACAGAGCTGGAACAGAACAGTATAAAATTTACAGCTGCTTCCAAATGGAGTGAGAAAGAGGGACGTAGCAGTTATCCCCAACTCCCAGGCTTCTATGCAGGTAGAAATGTGCTGTTGATGTCACTGAGTTTGAGAACACAGGTAGATAAACAGTTAATTGCTGGTGCAATGACCAAAAAGAAAACCCATTGTTAAGAGGGAATCTTTTCCACCTTCAGGGCCATCTGATCTTACCACTCTGTATCATTTCTTTTTCTCCCTCTCTAGAAAGAAAATCAAAAGCTGATCATTTCAAAACTTGAGCCTGATTTCCCTTAAAAATAAAGATCAGATGCCAAACGTTAGCTTACCTTAGACTAATTAAATCATCAGACCTTATGCCAAATGTAGTTTACTACTGCTACCAAAACTATCTTGATTAAAATATTCATTGGATTCAAAATAAATGTACTAATTATGGGAATAAACTACACATTTCTTATCTTTGAATACTTGAAATTCGAATACCTAAGTAGCTGCTACTTTGTTACCTTTGAAAGATACCTGCTTTCTGCCAAAATTAATATGCTTAACTTACCAGATTACATTACATTGCATTTTTTAATTTTCACACAGCCAGGAGTCTTTTCTTCTTTGCTGATTTTTTTCAATCTGTATTGTCGGATCTCTCTCACCAATGTATAAAAAGCATCCTCCACTCTCTGCATTGTAAAACACAACTTCTTTAAAGTCTGTTTCATTGTAAGACTAATTTACTGGGATAGCCATGTGCAAGAAGTTTGAAATTTTGCGATTGAGAATTTTTTTTTAAACAGACATCAGATTGAACTGCAGATACAGTTTTAAATATGGGCTAGAATCCCGGTTTGTTCTTTAAGTCACTTTGTTTCCTTAAAAATCTAATTAGAGGGGTCGGTGATGTGGTGTAGTGGGTAAAGCCATGGCTTATGATGCCAGCATCCCACATGGGCACAAGTTCACGTCCCGGCTGCTCCTCTTCCAATTCAGCTCTCTGCTAATGCTAATGGGGGAAAAAAAAAAAAAAAAAAAAAAAAAAAAAAAAAAAAACAAAAAACCAACAACAGGGGGCAGCCAAAGCGCTTGGGCCCCAGCTACCCATGTGGGAGACCTGGAGGAAGCTCCTGGTTTTGGCCTGGCCACCAGGAGATGAATGACCTCCCTCTCCCTCTTTCTCTCTCTCTGTCTTTCCCTCTCTCTCTATAGCTCTGGCTTTTCAAGTAAATAAATAAATAGTAAAAAAAAGAACTAAACAAACAACATCTCAAAATAAAGGGGCATCAAGAGACTGGAATCTCGAGTTTGAGCTTTAGCAGCACACTTTCCAGTCAACTTATAAGGTCTCACAGTTCTGAGTACAAAACTTTTGTGGATGGATAAAAACAAATTTTAAATTTTTAAATGAGGGCTGTTTACCATAATATAAAACATTGTGAAATGTTTAAAATATACACACAAAATAGGAGAAAAACAGTCTGTGTCTTCTCTACCAGTCTTAAAAATATTTTTAAAACAGTGTCCAATTTTACTGGCTTTGTACCTTCTATTCTAATATAAATCGTTTAAAGGAGTTTTTCCTACAATAATCTGCATGTAGTACAAATTAACTTGAAAGATACATGTATTTATTCTTATTAACTTTTTTAAAAAAAGATTTATTTTACTTATTTGAAAGGCAGAGTTACAGAGAGAGGGAGGGAGAGACAGAGAGATGTTCCATCTACCGATTCACTCCCCAAAAGGCTGCATTTGAAGCTGGGCCAGGCCAAAGCCAGGAGCCAGGAGCTTCATCCAGGTCTTCCACATGGGTGCAGGGACCCAAGGACCTGGGCTATCTTCCGCTGCTTTCCCAGGAGCATTAGCAGGGTGCTGGAATGGAAATGGAACAGCGGGACTTGAACTGGCGCCTACATGGTATGTCAGCACTGCAAGCAGTGGCTTAAGCCACTATGCTGCAATGCTGGCCCCATTCTTATTAATTTTAAGAAATTATGAATTACTTACTAAAGTAAGTAACTGGCATATTTTAACTTGCTGAGATTGGTAACATCCGTGTTTCACAGTAAACAAATGAGACAAAAAAATGGACCCAGCATCTAAAAAGCTAATACAGATCTAAACTAGGATCTGTATTCTTAAATTCCATTAGGCACAGAGAATCAGCTATTAATTATTAATAGTTAGAGCTTCCTTTTTGCCTTTAGAAGCCATCTGTGCATTTACTGACTCTAAGAGTTGAGACAAAGATATCTCAATTCCTTAGGGCAAAGAACTTTTCACAGATCTCAAGAGCACATTAAGAACGAGTGTTTGACATAAGAGTTATGACGTCTCCCTTCCCTTTAGGATTGCCTGGTTCAAGTCCTGGCTACTTCACTTCCAATACGCTTCTTGCTAATGTGTACGCTAGGAAGCAGCAGGTGATAGCACAAGTACTTGAGTCCCTGCCACCCATCTGGGAGACCCAGACTGGATTCAGGGCTCCTGGCTGCAGTCTGGCCCAGCCCTGGCTGTTGCAGGCAATTAGAGCACAAACCAGCAGATGGAAGATCTCTTTTTGCCTTTTCTTTCAAGCAGTTGTTGGCACAGCAAAACACCACTTGGGATGCTGGCATCCATTCAGGGTGCCCAGGTTCCAGTTCCAGCTCTGCTTCCAGTTCCAGCTTCCTGCTAATGCACACCCTGGTGAGGAACACGTGATAATGGCTCATATACCTGGGCCCTTGTCAGCACATGGGAGACCCTGACTTAGAGTTCCAGAATCCTGCCTTTGGCTGGCCCAGATCAGACTATTTTTGGGCATATAGGAATGAACCAATGCACTGAAGACCTCAGTCTCTGTCCCTCCACCTTTCAAATGAATAAAAATAAATTAATTATTTTAAAAATTCCAGAAACTATGTAATAAGAAACAGGTACTGGGCTGGTGTTGTGGTACAGCAGGTTAAATAGCCACCTGCAATGCCAGCATCTCATGCAAGCAGTTCGCGTCCTGGACACTTCACTTCCAAGCCAGCTCCCTGCTAACGTGCCTGGGAAAGCACATCAGTCACCCATGCAGGAGACCCCAACATAAAGCTCCTGGCTTTGGCCTGGTCCAACCCCAGCCACTGTGGCCATCTGGGGAGCGAACCAGCAGATGGAAGATCTTTCTCTGTAACTTCACCTGTCAAATATTTTTTTAAAAAGCATGGATTTTAAATAAGGTGATTATGTATTCAAATGCATAAAGTTACTAATATAAATCATCTAGTGATAGGTATGTTTCAGTTAAAGTATCTAACAACAAAAATCATTATAGTCCAGGAAATTTTATTTTTAATGGAAACAATGAACAAGCTAGCTAAGTCATCTGGAAACAAAAATTGTGAAGCATTTTTTGATAATATTAAATATGTTGGTAATTTAAATTAGAATTCCATTTGTATTTAGATGTAGTTTTTTCGTAGATTATAACTGATTATCAAGCATTTATTATTTTTATTCATCTGTCTTTGAAAATGTTATATATTAAAAATTGTGAGTACCAAGCAAGATAATTTAAGGCATAAAAACAACTTTTTATAAAGTATGTAAAATATAAAAATGAACTGTTACCTAATATACTTTCACAAATAACTTTTAACTTAAAAATCAATTTTAATAAATGGAGATATATATATATATACACACACAAACCAGGAAAAAGCCCATATTTCTTAAAATTTTTTAGGAATGTAAATTTCAATTCCTGTTTAAAAAAAAAGTCACAAAGTCAATGCAGAAGGCATGCCAAGAGGGGAGGAAAACATGTATTGGTCCTACACTAATTTAGAAGTAAACTTTGATTGTAACTTATCTCTAAAATCAGTTTGGATGTCTGCTTTCTAAGGGTGAGCACTCCCATCACCAATACCAGAAAATATGATTTTCGTTTCCAGCAATGCAGAGAGAATTGGAAGCCAACAATTTAAAAAGAGGAGATTATTACCCACCACCAAGAATTCAGTTTTAGGACCTCAGTGGCTAAAAGAATTAACACTGAGAAATAGTTACTCCAGAGTGACTTTTCTTATTTCTACTAATAAGAAATTTAAATAAGATTTTAAACAGTTATTTCCAATATTCTTCAGACTTAAAATAGTCATTTCTTCATAATTTGCTTTAAAATCATACTAACATCAAGAGAACGTGAGAGAGTATTGTTATGTATCCTTGTAAATGCTTTAAAACCACTAGCTCTGGCTCTTATTTTTAAAAACTACATAAAAAGTACACACCTATGAAAAAGCACAGTGGTTTCATATTCCCAAATATGCATACTTTTCAAAGATCAAGTATTACTAAAACAGACATTTAATACCCACGATAGCTAGTTACTAAGCTCTCAACTGGCACTCAATACTTTGTTCTTGAGAATATGGCTGGCTGCCAAGTATACTCATTTTAAAATGTTACTTATTATACTCTAAGCACAACTGTAAATATTTATGCAGGAACAAATATATACAAGTTTAAATGTGTAAATTTTTATAATCAAGAGATTTGACAATATTTTCAGCTCAACCATTACCTGAAAAAATACTAGTAACACCAGGAAATTGTTAAATAGTATCATTATATCCTTTTGTCTATGCTTTTACTATGAAAAAAAATTTTTTTTTTGGACAGGCAGAGTTAGTGAGAGAGAGAAATAGAGAGAAAGGTCTTCTTTACGTTGCAAATACCTGCTTCAATGGAGTCATTCATGAAAAAAATTCTTGTACATCACATAGCCTAAGCATACACAGATGCAGGAATATGGGCCCTCTTAGGGGATGAGAATGGAGAGAGGAAATGCAGTCTAAAAACCAATTTCACATACTCGGTTATCTGAAAAAACCTTCCAAACTACAGCTTAAATCAAGTGGAGTTCAAATGCAGCAATACCACTGCTTAGGTGGATATGCACCACGAAGAGCAGGTGCAGGACCAAGGTTTTGTTGATTTTTAACTGAAAAAAGCTGAAGTGCAAAGTATTCATCTCATGTATACAAACTCCACTATTGACAAGGCACTAAGGAGGGTTCTTGCTTATTCTGCTATATAATTTCATGAGATGCTTTCTTTTTTATTTTTTTGTTATTTTTTGACAGGCATAGTCAGACAGAGAGAGAGACAGACAGAGAGAAAGGTCTTCCTTTTTCCATTGGTTCACCACCCAAGTGGCCACTATGGCCGGTGTGCTGCGGCCAGCGTGCTGCGCTGATCCGAAGCCAGGAGCCAGGTGCTTCCTCCTGGTCTCCCATGCGGGTGCAGGGCCCAAGCACTTGGGCCATCCTCCACTGCCTTCCCGGGCCACAGCAGAGAGCTGGACAGGAAGAGGAGCAACCGGGACAGAATCCGGCGCCCCGACCGGGACTAAAACCCAGTGTGCCAGCGCTGCAGGTGGAGGATTAGCCTAGTGAGCCACGGCGCCGGCTGAGATGTTTTCTTTAATGGAGATCTTCTAACAACTAAAATTAAGTATCTTGAAATTAACAACAAAATAGGAAATTAATCACTCAGTATCTTTAGGTTCATAAAACTAGTTGTTCCAATGTTCAAATTGAGTCCTCCAGAAAGCAAAACAGCGGAAACAGGAGTAGCAGACTAAAGTACTGCTTCTGCCATCTATGCACTGAACTCTTCCCACTTTTGATTTTTACAGACTGAAACACACACTGATCCTATTGTGTCAATGTTTCAGTTTAAACAGCCTTTGCTGATCCTGCTATACACAACTCAAAGGAACCAGAAAAATCCGTCAAACACCTCTTTCCCAGATAAATGTGAAGTAGGTATCAGCCCTTATGTACTAGGAACGTGGGGACCACATATTATGTAGTAGTAGAAAATAACTCCTTTTGCTTTTCAAATACGGACTAAACTGAATATAAAAAATATATAATGTATTATATTCTGGCCAGTCAATGACCTTTTTATTATTACAAAGTAACTAAGCTGGCAAAAATATACTCTGAAATCCGGGCTGGTGGCAAACAAGTGCTTGGGCCCCTGTACCCATGTCAGAGACCCGGATGAAGTTTCTGGCTCCTGGCTGTTGCTGCCATTTAGGAAGGGAATCAGAAGATAGAAGACCCCCTTTTTTTTTTTTTTTAAATTACTTGACAGATAGAGTTAGACATTGAGGGAGAGACAGAGAAAGGTCTTCTTCCCTGCACTGATTCACCCCCCCCCCCCCCCCCCGCCCCCCGCAATGGCCACTACGGCCAGAGCTATGCCAATCTGAAGCCAGGAGCCAGGAGCTTCTTCCTGGTCTCCCATGCGGGTGCAGGCGCCCAAACACTTGGGCCATCCTCCACTGCCCTCCCGGGCCACAGCAGAGAGCTGGACTGGAAGAGGGGCAACCGGGACTAGAACCCAGTGCCCATATGGGATGCCAGCACCGCAGGTGGAGGATTAACCAAGTGAGCCACGATGCCGGCCCGATAGAAGATCTTTTGTAAGACCTAAGGTGAAAGTCAGTCAGGGCTCAGCAGCTGCCAACTCATAGGCCAAACGGGGCCGCAGTTGATTTCCGTGCTATGTACAAGCTAACAATGATTTTTCCATTTTCAAAGGAGTCTAAAAAAAAACAACTAATATACAACAAGGAACACTTGTGACTGAAAATTTTAAATATTTATTATCTAGCCCTTTACAGAACATGCTTGCCAGTCCCTGACTTGTAACTAAATTAATGTTCTTTCCCTACTAACCTGTATGCTTCTTTTTGGTGTTTGTGTTTTAGGCTCATGATCAAAAAAATCAAAAATTAGGGCACAAAACTAGCTGCTGATAAAATACAAGGATACTTATGAAGTTATTTTGTTCAAATAACAAATAAATTTATTGAACAACAACCGAGTAACAAAATATGCTGCAGAAATAACAAAATATTCTGCCAAGGCTAGGGCTTCAAAGTTTCACAAAACCTAATATATAAAACTCATTAAAATTTACATATGCAAGTTTACTATCTATAATTACTTGAAACAGCTCTTTAAAAATCTTGTAACACATGCAAATATTAAATTCATTTCAACAGAGGAAGATGCATGAACTGATTAAAGGCTACCTTATTTCAAAGCAAATCAATCAGTTCACTTAATAAAAAGAACTCAACAGAAATCAAATGTCATTATGGTTTAGCAACATAAATTTCATAAATGCATCAATAAAGTAGGATATAAATCTAAGATATGCTAGACATTAGGTTAAGAAAGAGAAATATTCTTTCATATTATTTCATTCTACATTTTAATTATGGTCCACATTAATGTCTACAAAGCAAACTTCACTTAATCCACTTCTATATCATACTCCTTTAAAAAAAACAACAAAGAAATCAAGGCCTCAAAACAGCCTAAAACTAAAAATATATTTTAAAAGAAAGCCAGGGTAGGGGCCAGCACCGTGCCGTAGCAGGTAAAGCCTCCGCCTGCCATCCTGGCTGCTGAACTTCTGATCCAGCATTCTGTTGTGGCCTGGGAAAGCAGTAGAGGATGGCCCAGTGCTTGGGCCTCTGCACCCACATGGGGGACTCAAAAAAAGCTCTTGGCTCCTGGCTTCAGACCAGCCCAGCTCCAGTCACTGCAGCCATTTGCAGAGTGAACCAGTGGATGGAAGACCTCTCTCTCTCTCTCTGCCTCTAACTCTGCATTTCAAATAAACTAATAAATCGTAAAAAAAAAAAAAAAAAAAAAAGGGCAAGCAAGCCAGGGTAGTTTTCTGAGTAGTTATGAATAGCTGAATGCTTCAAACATTACAGCATTAATAACAAAACACCAAAACACCAAGAATCAGCTACCTGGTGCTTCTGCGGCAGCCATCAATCAACAGGGAAAGGAGTGAAGAGCTACACTGTGGTACTAACAAGGAAGAGTCCTTTTAGTATCATCTAACTACCTTTCTACTTAAAACTGTGGTCCATGGACCAAAACCAGCATCACCTGGGGTTTGCTGGACATGCAGACTCACAGGATCCAACCTAAGCCCATTGATTTAGAATTGAGATCTTAATAAGCCCTTTGATCTGCACGCACTGTAATGTACTAGCACTTCTCTACTGTTTACCTTTTTTATGTGAAATGCTAACAAAAATGTTCAAAAGACTAAAAAGAAATTTTTAAAATCTATGAATAATACAACTACAATAAAATATTAATAACAGTATAGATGGCTTGCTAATGTTTTCAATAAAAATTCTTTTCAATTTTTTAAATCCGAAATTTTTTCATAAAAAAAATATCGGAGGGCTGACGTCACGGTGCAGTTGGTTAGGCTGCTAACTTGTGACACCACCATCCCATATGAGCATCAGTTCAAGTCCCAGCTGCTCCACTTCCCATCCAGTTCCCTGTGAATGCAGCTGGAAAAGCAGCTAAAGATGGCCCAACTGCTTGGGCCCCTGCCAACCCATGTGGGAGACCCAGATGGGGTTCCAGGCTTCTAGCTTTGGTCTGCCTGTAGCTCAGCCTCAGCCAGTGTAGCCACTTGGGGAGCAAACCAGCAGGCAGAAGATCTCTCTCCCCTGCCCTGCCTGTTCTCTCTCTAATGCTCCCTTTCAAATAAATAAACTAAAAACAAAACCAAAAAAAGGACTGGAAGAAAAAGCTATAAATATTATAATCATGTTTTCTGAGTACCTTCTTTGCTGAAGAAAATTGAGACTAGTAAGAAAGACTAGAGAAAGACCAAAAACAAAACAAAAAACAAAAAAAAAAACAAACCACCCTAAAATTTGGAACTTGGGAAGGAATTTGAATGAAATCCTAATTACTCTGAAGTGAAATATACCAAGTCTTTACTTAAATAATTTATCTGCCATAGAAGAAATATGTATATGATGGAAAAACTGCAAAAATTCAGTTTTTAATTCCAAAACAAACACCCAAATAGTGTACCAAACCAGGAGGAGCTACTTATGATCTCACTGGAGAAGTAACTCATAAATAACAGCTGAATAATTTACACTTATGTTTTTATCCCTTTACAAAATTCAACAAACATCTAGAATGCCTGCTTTTCTGAGTTTAACTATGTAATGAGTTGTTTATCAATTTTTTAAATTCCTAGCAACACAAGAGTTAAATTCTACAAAACCATCTTTGTGGGCTCACAGGTACGCATAACCAGAAAAAACTCCAAAAAAAATGTATGGAGCATATATTGTACAAGTTCTTACAGTCTATGCATGAAAATTGTATTCTATCACATCTTTGTGTTCCTTTCCAGAATTTTCCTTTTAAATGTTAAACTCTTATTTCATACAAACAGGGTAGATAGTATTAGCTAAAATTATTTTATTTTACCTAGAGAAAAAGTTTTTTTAAAATGAAGATGACTGGAACCAGCATTGTGGCATAACGGTTTAAAAGCCGCTGCCTACAACACTAGCATCCCATTTAGACACCGATTTGAGTCCCAGCTGCTCCACTTCTGATCCAGCTCCCTTGCTAATGTGTCTGGGGAAGCAGTGGAAGATGGCTCAAGTCCCTGAGCTTCTACACCCACATGGGAGACCAGGATGAAGTCCTAGTTTCAGCCTGGCCTAGCACTGGCCATTGCAGCCATTTGGTTAGTAAACAAGTGGATGGCAGATCTCTCTCTCTAACTCTGCCTTGCAAATAAATAAAATATTTTTTTTAAATGATGATTTCTTTAACAAAATTTAGGTTCTAACTGGGATTAATTTTTGCCAGAACAATGCACTAAATGAATAATGGAATTTCTATTCACTTTCAAAATACTCTTTAATGAGAAAAAAAATGCCAAAGTAAAATTTCTTCAAATATAACAAAATTCAATCTAGAAACACATGACATGATACTCTTAAAAGCACAAACTCAAAATCTGTTCCCCTGTTCTTTGTCTTTATGTAACGTGAAATCGCACATTTCTTGAATGTAAGATGTGCTCAGAGCAAGGGAAATTTCACTGTGGAAAGAAATCAAAGCGGAAAGTACTACCATAACACTGCATTAAGAAGCACTGTCTGCTCAAGAGAAGGTACCGTTCTATATGCTATTTTAACACACTGAGAGAAAAACTGAAAATCACATCAATGACAGAATAGTAATGTTATCACATATGAACACATTAATTTCCTTCTCCTACCATTAAAATGATGCTAAAATATCTATTAGTAAAGTATGATTCATGATTGAAATATTTTGCAGAAAATGGATTTGTATTGATTCCAGCTTTACTTACCTGTCTTGTCTTTGCAGATGTTTCAATAAAAGGAATTCCATAACTTCTTGCTAAGTCCTGAGCTTGTTTTGTGTCTACTGTTCTAGAAGGCAAATCACATTTATTTCCTACTAGGACCATAGGTACATCTTCAGAGTCTTTAACTCTTTTAATTTGTTCTCTGGGGAAGAAATAAAGTTATAGCAGAGCATTAGTAAGGCAAAAATATTTCCAAAATTGTCCACAACTTCTGTCTTACACATTTTGGATAAAAGAAGACTTTTAAGGAAATTCCTAGCTTCAACCATACCAATCTCCCTTGCTTCTCCTTCTGGTTATTGTTTCCCTCCACCTTATACAGAGACCTTATATATTACTTAAAGATTAACTGCCTAGAAATTAATATGCAGGTAGATCGCAAAGATAAAATACTGAAAACTTCTAGACTTAAAGTGTTATGCCTAATTTCAATAGCAATAATCTTAGAAACATGTATGTGGTTCAAAGTTTAAGTATAGAACTGAAAATATTTTTACAAAAACATGAATTATAGCATTAACATAATTTTCACATTACTTTCTCAATAAGGAAAAGTGAAAAAGCAGAAAGATTTTAGTTTTTATGTGGACAACACTGCTTACTCTGTTAAATCTTTCTTATGTAGCTAATTTTCAATATGCAATATGCATAAACTCTACATTTGGGGTAAAATTATATTCCTTCACAATTTCAGGTGATTTTTCAAGAAGTGGCATGGAAGAAGGAGCACAGGAGATAACACAGCAGGGTTGACTGAAATTCCTACTTCCCCTGCCTATGGATTAGCTGAGTAAAGCCAGGTCAGTTAACAAATTTCACTTGTTTACTACTCTATAAAATAAATACCACTACCACCCATCGCCTAAACTTTTTTCTTTAATACTAGACTATAGGGTAAACATGCTACCAGAAATGATCTTAAAAGGTTAAACCTCTAAAGTGGCTAACTTACAGCTACATGATATAGCTAGTAAGTGGAGTATTTGTTTTAATAGCTTTAAAAAAATGGTAAATCTTCAGAAACAGAATATTTAATACAGTAATAATTTTAAAGTAGTTTATGCAAAGTTCTTAAAATTTTTTAAAAACCTATTATTGCTCTAATGCTTTTTATTTTTACATAAGTATAATTTTAAATACATAAGGCCATCGTTTATCCAATCCAAGAAGTTCTACACTGAATATACATTATTCTGAAGACCACCTCAAATTGCTTTTTCATATTTTCATGTATCTAAGACTTTTAAAGTCCAGTTTCTCTACTGTAGGGAGGTGAGGAGGACAGAATATTTTAAAGCCAGACACGTATAGGTTAGGTTTCAGTCCCAGCACCAACACTATCTATGGAACCCAGAACAAGTTACTCAACTGTTTTAATGCGCAAGAACTTCATTTTATGTAAAATAGGAATTTGATGCTCAAAAATATTTTAAAATTTGTATTATATAATATATACACTGTGGTAAGAAATACTCAATACATGAAAGCTATAATTACTCCTGAATGCTAATTTATTACATTCAATTTAAACCCACCTATAATGGTGAATATCTTCAAATGATTTAGTATTATTTATGGCAAACACACAAAGAAAGCCCTCCCCAGTTCTCATGTACTGGTCCCTCATTGCACTGTACTCCTCTTGACCTGCTGTGTCGAGAATATCCAAGAGACAGGTTTCTCCATCAATTACTACTTGTTTCCTGTAGGAATCCTGAGAAGGGAGAAACACAGTCTGGATTATTATGGTGCAGCTTTTACTTGTGAAAAGGTGTTATAACAACCAAAAAGACAAAAAGACAAAAAGACAAAAAAAAAAACCGCATCCCAATTCAAAAAACGGGCTAAGGGCTTGAGAAGGGCTCTTCTCTGAAGAAGAGAGAGAAATGCGCAGCCGCTCAACACTATCAATTATCAGGAAAATTTTTAAAAACTTGTAAGAAAACAAAGACAAATTCAGAGGTTTGGACAACGATATGGAGAAACCGGAATGCTTTTGTTATTGGTGGGAATCCAAAATGCTGTTTTCCTGGGCAAAAGTATGGCAGTTCCTCAAAAAACTAAACAGTGAATTACTATACAATCTACCAACTCCATTCCTGTGTGTATAATCAAAAGTGAAACACGACTCAAAGAGATACATGTACACCGCTGTTCACAGCATCATATACAGCAACCCCAGAAACAACTCGTGTCTATTAACAGATAAAGGAATACACGAATGATAATATGCACATACAATCGAATATATTCAGTCATAAAAAATTAAACTTTGCTAAGTGCTACAACTAGACAGGCCTTGAAAACATGTTAAGTAAAATAAGCCAGACACAAAAGTACAATCACATGATTCCCCTTATGTGGGGTACCTAGAAGCTGTCACAGAGACAGAAATAGGAGAGAGGTTACGGAGGATGAGGGAGCGAGGACTAGGAGTCAATATTTAACAGCTAGAGGTTCAGTTTGGGATGATGAAAAAAGTTCTGAAAATAGTATTAGTGGTTACACAGCTCTGTGATGGTTGTACACACTGTGAATGCATTTCATGCCACTGAACTACACAGGAAAAATGGCTACAATGTTAAATTCTGTTATCTGTATTTTATCACAGAGGTTTTTAAAAAAGATTAGCCTCTTTCCCAAGAGATTCAACAATTCAAGTGCATACATTAGTAACAAAAAATTATCTATAAAAATAATTACTACAAAAATGGGACAGTTTTATAAAATCTAATACTCAAAGATGATTCAGATGACACACACACAAAAATCAATTCACAAGTAATTGTCACATACCTTCTTTACCTGAGAAGATTAGTAACATTCAATATTTCTACTTCTGAAAAATATGGGCACAATATCTAATATGATAGCTACTGTAATTCTAAAGGCACAACTCTTGCAGCTGCAAATTTTGAAAGGCCTCTATTAAAAGAGGAAGACATCCGAGTAAAGAAAGGAGGTAACCTCAATGGAATCTTAAAATGAAAACTTAAATTTTCCCCTAAGGACACTGACGTTCACACTGCCGAAATGGGCCCCCCAAAGAGGGAAAGGAGGTAGTACAATGTGAAGCCCCTGATTAGGCCTCAGGGTTGATAACGGACATAAAGTTATAAACACAGACACACTATTTCTTTTTATTCCACTTGTAGGCTACGGTACTTGTAAATGCCTTTAGTTCATGAATTACTTTATACACTATTCTATCACTGAAAAGAGATAGTGAAAAAGAAAGAATGAGAACCTTGTTTTTATTAAAATGTTTACAGTGTAACAATATAAAGATACATAAGTAGGATGACCTCAAGAAAATGTCCACATATTTATGTTTCCATGTATATATTAAAAACTGATGGCATATACATCAAAATGTTAGTCAAAACTACGTCTTTGATGGAGATGATTTAAGATATTTATGTCTTGCTTATCTCCTTTTTTATACTAGATGCTACATTAAATATATTTTTTCTTTTGACCTTAAAGAAAGCACTAAACCACGATCTCTTCTTATTCTTTTAAAGTACACTGTATTTTCCAAATGGTCTATAATAAAAATTAATTATCTTATTAGAAAAAAAGGATGGATATTATTTTCTAAATAAGTAGCTCTTTATAATAAAGATTTGGACATTTCATTGACATTGAATTATTTTAGCCTATTACCTGAATTAATTACTTGAAAGAATTGCAAGTTATCAACTAAAGACTAGTATTTCTGAAGAATAATGGAAGGGCAATAACTCAAAGCAAAGTACACTGTCTTAAAGAGATTTTTACTTCTTGAGTAGGGATTTCTCTAAAGAGAGATAAAGGGGCAGCAAACACTGAGAAGATGCTCAACAGTATCAATCATTAGAAAATGCAAATCAAAACCATTAAAAAAACTTATAAAAAAAACAAAGACATGTAAAAACAAGCATGTAAAACTGACTAATGACTTTTACTTACCTATGCCTGTCACCTCACATACTTTCCTCAACAATAAGTGAAAGGTTCCTTTGTCTTTAAGATTTTTCATAACAATAAAATGAAGCACTACAGTTTCTAGAGCCACACAAGCCCACTCAATATCTAAGGCATGGCTCTGGGATTACTCACATATACATCCTCCTAGATAAACTTCTAAATAGAACTGTAAAGACAGAGTTTCCAAACACTGTTTTTCAAAAGTATATGACACAGAGTATCAAATCTGCAGATTTCATGAAATGTTTTCATGCATACTCCAACAAATGGTCAAAAATTGGAAAAGCAGTCCCCATTCACTGAGAGCTCATTTGTACTACTATTCTCTTCCAGATCCTAAAAATATCGATAGCCATTTATATAAATTAGTGGAGCCATTATCAGTTATTTTAAAAACTACCCCACAACCTACTCCTAGCAATGCCAATAATTAAAAATAAAGTAAGTTTATGTTAAAAATCCAGTATTTCCAAAGTAAATTTTATCCTTGGAAGCACAGTCATTGAACTTATAAAAAGGCAGTGCAACTTAGTAAAAATTAAAGAACAAAAGTGTTAAATGACGGAACGGTGATTTAAACAGAACTGATAGGTTTGAAGACAAAGCAGAAAACGTACAACAAAATGAAATTAAATAAAAATACAGTTTTGTTTCAACCTCAGTTCAGCCACAAGAAAAGAAATATATGGAAGTAGAAAAAACACACATTAGTGTAGAATCTTTCCAAAGATTAGAGTCTAAATAAGTGTTCAACAAACTACCATTCAGGCCAAATCCTGCCTACTTTTTGGCCTTTAAGCTAGTAGTTTTTCCATTTTTAAAGAGATTAAATATATATATATATGTAACAAAGACCCAGGCAGCCCTTTATAGAAGTTTGCTAATCCTGGCTGTAAGCTAATAAATACCTTTTCACAAAACTAAAATATTCTGAGTATACATTATTTATTCTCTTTATGCTTAAAAAAATCAGTACTCAGAAAATACAGGTTTATCAAAGCTCTACAAATTAAAAAATTTTTAAAAAGAGATCCCACAATGATATTAGTTACTGATAGAGCAAATAAAATGATCAAGATTTTACAATTTTAATTAGTATTACTTCCAGCCCTTCAAATAAAGTAACCTTTCAGATCTAGTACATAGGTTACTAGTAAACTAAGAACAGGTCACTTAAACTAATACACCATAATAAAACATTAAATGAAGGAACATTATTTCATGTATTTCCCTCACTCCCAGCCATTTTTTACAACTACCTAACTACTAAAAAAACTTTCTAAAAGAAATGCATTATACTAGCAAGTGTGAATTGTATATAGAATTCAAACATTTCTGGTGAAACAAACCAACAAAAATCCTTTAAGAAAACAAGTACAGATTTATCTAGAACCACACAAAGGTTCACAGCCTTTGTTACAGTAATGCCACTAAGTACTTTATGCTACTCCTCCAAAAGATTACTGGGATCCATTACAGAATGATGTGCTCCACACTGTTGGTTATAAGCCATCAAAAGTGGCTGTAGAAAGCTAGCTCCCAAAGTCAGCTAGAAACATGTACAACAGCCTAGTACGTCATAATTTTAACAGGGAAAAACAAGGAATTTGGGTATATAAAAAGTTTATGAACTTATTCCACCTACCCACCTCGCCCCTGCTTTGTTTCATAGAAACTATCACTGAGAACACTCCAGTGTCACATATTAGATCAGGCATTTCACAGTTTTTGACCTCAAAGAAGTCAGTCTAGCAGAAGCTGTGAATGTAGGGGCCGGTGTGTGGTGCTGCAGGTTAAGCTACTGCTCAAGGCACCGGCATCCCACAAGAGTGCTGCCTGGAACCAGATGCTCAACTTCTGATGCAGCTCACTGCTAAGGTGCCTAAGAAAGCAACAGAAGGTTGGCCCAAGTGTCTGGGCCTGCACCCACGTGGGAGACCCTGATGGAGTGGTAGGCTCTGGTTTCAAGCCTAGCTCAGCCCTAGCTGTTGTGGCCATTTGGGAAATGAACCAGCAGATGGAAGATCTTTTCTTTCTTTCTTTCTTTTTTTTTTTTTTAAAGCTTTATTTATTTATTTGAAAGGCAGAGCTACAGAGAGGCAGAGGCAGAGAGAGAGAGGGGTTTTCCATCCACTGGTTCACTCCCCAGATGGCCACAACGGCTGGAGCTGAGTGGCTCCAAAGCGAGGAATCAGGAGCTTGTTCCAGGTCTTCCACGAGGGTGCAGGGGCCAAGTTCTTGGGCCATGGAAGATCTTTTTCTTGCTGTGTCTCTCTGTCACTCTTCCTTTCAAATAAATAAATCTCAGACAGCTATGTGAATATAAATAAATGATTAACACAAACAGAAATGCAACACAATTTGCAAGATAAAGTACAGTGGTAACACACAGGAGAGATTAACTTTGCTCAAATGAATTAGCAAAGGCCATTCCAGGTAAAACAAACAAACAAACAGAATGCCCAAAAAGCAAGAAACAGCTTGAGTGTATGTAACCAAGGACTTCTGGCTTAGAAGGTCACCAACACTCTGCAAGTGAAATGGGCCCATCAAGCAGGGGACAGTCTGGGAAAGGTCTTCTTGTATGCCTCTTTAAGACTAGATCACCGAAAGGCTTCTAAGTAGGAAGAGTCAGAATTACTATGTATACCATTAGGAGTACAGTGATAAATGAAGGAAGGGATAAGACAGGGTCCCCTCACACACACTGGAGAGGCAGCAGCACAGAGCATAACCTCTGCACAG